TCTTCCATGCCCACCTTCTCCCTGGCGAGGGGCTCATGAACCTTCTGGACTGACGACACCCACCTCCCCACCCCTGCCCCAGCGAACTCTGGGCTGGCCGCTCACCGCAGCTTGTGCAGCTGGACAATGACACGGATGTGGTCATCCGACAGGTCCATGTTGTAGAGCACAAGGGACACTAGGCTGTCCTTCCACTGAGTAAGGAAGGCCGCGTCGCTCGTCTGAATGCCTGAGAGGTCCAAGGTGGCCAGCGAGTTGAGCGGCCGCAGCAGAGACTCTACGGGGACCCCATCGATCATGCGGCCCAAGTTGAGGAAGCGTAGGCGGCTAAAGCCCTCGAAGGTGAAGTCCTTGACCAGCACCTGGCAGGTGGGGTTGACGAGGCACTCATCTTCACAGCCCCCTGGGTTTTCCTCCTCATAGAAAATGTTTGCACAGCCAAAGAGGCTCAAGGACACCAGGGTGTGGCTGAAGCTCCTCAGCGTCTGCAGGCTCTTGGCGGACAGCTTCTCGCAGTTGGTTAGGTACAGCTCCACCAGGTCCTGGTAGCAGAGACAGCTGTCATCAGCACTGCGTGGCCCCTGCTCTAGGCCTGGCCCTGGCTACAGGTGGCTTGAGGAGGGATCTGCACAGGGGGAAGAGCACCGGCGGGGCCCTGGGATTCTTGCCCTGGAGGCGAGCGGCCCCGGCCCCCGACTCACTGTTGGACCACCTCAGGATCGGCCTCCCACGGCCATCCCAGGGGCCTGGTGAGGCAGGTCTCACCTGCTTGCGAATGGCTTCCAGGTCCTGGTCCTGCACCAAGTCCTCGCGGAGGTGGATACGGGTGAGGCGGGTGCTGCGGGGGTCGGAGAAGAGGCTGAAGAAGCTGTCGTGTGGCTCAAAGTTGCAGGCAGCGTTGACCAGTTCCACATACCTGGGAGGGAAGAAAATCTGACTCGGGACAGGCACAGCGACCTTCGTCCTCCCTTCAAGGCCCAGCACAAGCCCTCCCCTCCCTGAAGCCTTCTCTGATCACACTGGGAGCAACCTATCTCCCTTCTCCTCCTCCTCTTCCTAATAGTGCCTGGTTGGACACTGACTACCCTACAGGTGAGTCTGAGAGTGGCTCCAGGAACCCCCATAACCAGGAGTCCAAAGGTAGACCTGGTGATAAAGGGACCTCTCATCAATAGCAAATCCCGAACTCTTCCCCCGCAACCACAGACACCTCTATAACAAACATTCATGTCCACGCTCCTCATCTTCTTTAAGCCAGCTCTGGTTCCTTGACTAGCCCCTCCCAGGGCCCTTTCCAACAGGAAGATTAAGCCAAGGGGTTTGGATTCCCCAGCGGGGTGCAGGCAAGCCCTCACTAAAACCCTGCTGAGATGGCAGCTCATACAAGAATCCTGGTCTGGTGGGAAAGGCTTTGGAGTCAAACACTCTGGAATCTGGAATCTAAATCCAGCTTGGCTGTTCACTACCTGCGCAACTTCACACAAGTCACTGAATTTCCCAGACCTCAGTTTCTTCATCTGTGAAATGGACATAACTCTGGTCTGCAAAGCATCCANCTGAGCACAGACTAGAGCTCTGGGCATCCTGGCAGCCAAGGCAAAAAGGCAAAGGCGAGAAGTACCAACCTGAAGACACTGATGAACTGGGACGTCATTAACTGGGGCCGCAGCTCCTTCACCTCTGCCACGTTCCCCAAGAGTCCCAGCATATTCCGATGCAGCTCCTGCTTCTCTGGGAATTCCTGGCCAAATGACAGCCATTGGGGCCACATCAATTAGTACTTAATTAGTGTCTAGTATTGTTAACCTAGATGCTTTACGAGCGTCTGTCTGGCCATTCTGACTAGACGAAGAGGGGGTGCAATATGCTGTTGTCCTACCTTCTAGTGTACCTAGGACAGTGCTGGGTGTACTCTATAAGGATTAAAATGGTGGGGGCTCCTTGCCACAAAATCAGAGGCTGAGTGGAGATGAGACCTATAAAATTGTGAATGAGACACACATGGTTTTGTTTACCCAAGTTCAAAATATTAGCTTAATGAAACCCTCCTAGAAACTAGAGCAAGAAAAGGAGGGATGAGTTTTAAGATGAACAGCCCATCCTACCGGACAGAATTCTGTTCAGCTGACATCCCAAGGGACCCCTGCCAGACTGGGCAGTGTGAGAAGACACTGCTGAGAAGGATGGGGCTGGGTTTTCCCTTAAAGGGAGGGCTCTCAGAGAGGGCCCGGCCAGGCCATCTGGGTTAGGGAAGGTCTCTGGAGCTGCTGCTTTTTTTTTTTTGAGTTTTTATGAGTTTATTTGAACCAATCTGATGATCTATGCTGGGAAGAAAGATCTCAAATGCTCCTTGGAGCTTATGATTGCAGCAAATCCAGGGCTGGTGGGCCTGGGAGTCAGCCCCCACTGCCCTTCCGTGGGAGCCACGGGGAGAGGGGTTGCTGATGGATTTGGTTGGAGGGGAGCCTGGGGACAGAAGACGAGCCGTGTGGGTGCCCCAGGAGCGGCCGCCACGGAGAGGGAGAGGCGCTACCTTCAGGCAGTCCAGGAAGAGCTTCATGCCGTTGAAGTTCAGGAACATCTCACAGTTGTCGGGCGTCTCGTCCGTGATGTTCCACAGGGCGCTCCACGAGAACTCCATCACCTGGTCACACTGAAGGCCGGGCAGGGCTCAGCACCGACTCGCCTGGACGGGACCGGGGGCTCCTGGCACCCAGGAGTCCCCTGACACAATACTGACCCCCCCCCTCCCCAGGGGAAAACCAGTCCCCTCATGGGCTGCAGATGGCAGAAGGGCTCCATGAAGACTAGACTTACTATCTTGTCCAGCAGTTTCTTCTGAATCAGCTTCAGCATGGTCTGTGGGCAGAGAAGATAACTTGCAGGGGGCCAGGCCTCAAGAGCTCCCATGCCCCCCAGGAACCAAGATGGAGAGAGGAGCGTGAGCAAGTCTATTCCTGCCTGATAGATCCTAACAAGACCAAAGCTGCCCAGCTACTGGGGAGGCTCTTTGAAAACGTGCAACCCGCAGGCTTGGTGCTTAGCATCAGGAGACCTGGGTGCTAGTTCTGGCTCAACCCTGACTCCTTCTGTGGCTTTGGGCACAGTCGCCGCACCTCCCCCGCTTCGCCCCCCCGTGGAATTCAGCCTCCCCAGAGATACAATGAGGAGACTGGATGTTCCTTTCTCATTCTTTCCTTCCTTCCTTCAGCAAATATTACCTCCCCGCTGCGTACCAGGCACTATGCTAGGTGACAGGGACATAATGATGGAAGAACAAGCATGCGCCTTTCCCCATGGACCTCAGAGCCCAGTGGGAGGCCGACATTAGATAGATAGTCCCGCAGGCACTTATTTAATCCCAGTTGGGAAGACATATCAGGGCACCTGGTCTGAGGAAGCAGGAGTGACTTACACAGTGGGACCTAATGGGGGAATGGAGGGACTGGCGGAGGATGACAGAATGTTCTAGGTGGAGGAAATCTACTGGGGTCGTAAGCAACATTCACTATTAGGAAATCTGTCCTTTGGTCTAGCCTGACTCCTTCATGTGGCTGTGGGCTATGGAAGAGGAAAGGAGGAAGGCAGGGACGGCCAGCCCGCCTGCACGCACCACAACAAAGCCCATCTTGCCCACGGCCTCCTTGTGGTCATTGTCCACCTGGCAGACCAGGGCGTTGCACAGGTGCACGGCGATGCGCTGGATGGACTCGTCCTGCCGCGTGGGGTTGAGGATGCTGAGCAGGAGCTCGTTGACCCGGCGGTACTGGAATTCCAGCTCCTCGGGGATGCTGAAGTTGCAGAGCGTCAGGCAGCAGTTCCGCTGGACCTGGGCCGGGGTGGAGACAAGCGGAGCACAGTCAGGGGCAGACTCGAGCTGGACTCGAGGGGCTCTACAGGTGAGAGATCAT